CTCACATTTCCTCGGTCATTGTCTATGGCCTTGACCCCTCTGATATTCAGTGGCTGCCTCTTGAGATGAGGGGAAACCGTGGTAGTAATAACACATGTAGGTACTTTGCGCAAATTCAATTCATATCAAATCCGTGCATATGCAAGGGCTGCACGATGTATAATACTACGTATGTACATATTCTGGGGAAGCGGAGTTATACATAGGTACATGTATATATGTACAAAGTATAGAACTATCAATCTTGGGATCATCTTATCGCGATAAAAAGGCCAAGACCGTTTCTTTACCTCTACCTTCACTTCTACTTTTAACTTCACTTCGCCTACTCACCAAAGAACCAAAATGGCCCCCAAATCCAAAAGACCCGATCCAAAACCTCAACCAAAGATCACAACCCCAAACTGGCCTCCCCTCCGCCCCCTCCTCCCCGCCGCCGATCTGACCCTGACCCCCCTTCTCACCGACCAAATCTACCTAATCCGCAACTTCCTCTCAGGCACCCTCTGCAAAACCTATGCCTCATTCCTCGCCTCACTACCACTAGCAACAACACCGGGAACCCCAAAGAAAGACGAGGCGTTACGAGTCAACGACCGGTTCCAGATTGACGATGCGCGGTTCGCGGAGATGCTGTGGAGCACGACGGCGCTGAAGGAGCTTATCACGACGCGCTTTGAAGAAGACGAGTACGGGTATGAGCAGAACGCAGAAGATGATGGTACTAGCTCGTCCGCCCTCGCTGAACGGGCACGTCAACTCTGGGGCGGGGAGCCGTTGGGGTTGAATCCTAACATTCGCATTTATCGATACTCTGCAGGACAGTTTTTTGGACAACATTGTAAGAAGCTCTCTTGGATTTGCATTATAACATGTCCTAGGCATAGAAACATGCATACACATCCAAGAAAGACTAACACTAACACATAACACCCATTAACCTAATTACAGACGACGATGCCAATAACATAACCTTCCCCTCACCGAACTTGCGCTCAAAAGCAACACCTGCACGCACAACATGGACTCTCCTGGTCTACCTGACCTCCTGCGCAGGTGGCGAAACAATCTTCTATCCAGAGCCGACGCGCGCGAACCGCAATCCGGAGCCAATAGCTGTTGCGCCGGAGGTTGGGATGGCGCTGTTGCACCGCCATGGAGATCATTGTATGATACATGAGGGGGCTGAGGTCACCGGGGGCGAAAAGTGGGTTCTGAGGAGTGATTTGGTTGTTCCGAGGTGATATACTGGTGATGATTGCATTTGGAGCTCCAAGGTTGTAGGCAAGATACAGTATTTTTGAACATATGGAACATAGCACAGTCGTGTGGACGGGTTCCTACGCGACTTCGACTTGGAGTCCTTAGTCCTTGGGTGTTGGGGTATATAGACATGCATATGGGAATTTATCGAACACAAATTCTAATCATTCTGCTGGATCATACCTAAGTATTGGAGGGTCCAATCAAGTTGGATAACACACTAGCAAAAGGACAATATGAACAAGGACGACAGTAGGTCCCTGTCACAGATGGCACGCATAAAAGAGACACGGAGTTGTAGATACAAGTCAAATAGTCGTAAAGAGTGGAAAGTTTGCTGGGCACGAGGAGATGGGAGACAAATAATGAACATGAAAAAAAAGGTAGATCATCAGTTATTGGAATAGCAGGTGAGTTTTGGGACTCGACAGAATGACAGACGACAAGAGTTTTGGATCTCGCCAAAGAGGAGTCTAATTTCCTGGGTCAAAACCCCCCAGATTCAATTTCATCGTAGTCAATATCAAGCTGGTTTGGAAACAGGAGACCTCTCCGAATCCAGTTCATACTCGGCCCCTCTCATCATCCCCTCCACAGGACCGAGAAGCCGCTTGAATCCGTCCCGGCCCAACCGCGCCACCTTCACATCCGTCTTGGTGGTGATGCTGGCCTGACGTGGCTTGTCGTCTAGCAAGGCAAGCTCGCCGAAGTAATCGCCTCGGCGATAGTTCTTGACTGGCCCCGAGACACCGTTCTTGGTAGCCTCGGCTTCGCCCGACTCCAAAAGATAGAAAGCATCTCCGGGATCGCCTTCGTGGATGATGGTGGAATTAGCCGTGTACTTGATGGTGTCCAGAGCATCGGCAATCTTCGCGCGCTCGTATGGCTTCAGAGAAGAAAGCAGCGGGACCTCCTCCAGGAAAGCCTCGTACATACGGCGGCGTTGGAATGCCGAGTCCATTAGGATGCGGCGGAAGGTGACGCGGTCCAGGGCCCACAAGGTGCTCTTCGGCTCGGTGGAAATCACTGTCGCAGCACGCGGGGCATTGTACATCAGAGCTAGCTCGCCGAAAGATCCCCCGGGTCCGATACTGGCGACCTTGTTGCCTAAGCCATCAGGGCCAGGCTGCACGGCGCCGGAGGAGTGGATATAGACGTCGAAGTTTCCTTTCTCCACAATGTAGAAGTAATCACCGGCATCACCTTGGGAGATGACCTTGATATCCTTGGCAGGAATGGGCTTCTCAACGAGAGCGTTGAGGACGGTCAAGGATTGCTCATCGTCGAGATGGGAGAAGAGGAAGTTGCTGCTGACCGCGCTCTTAAGCCGGGAGACCTGCTCTTCGGTCTTTGGGTGGTAAGGAGGAGACCAGCTATCTGAACCAGCTTCGGTGGGATTTAAAGATTCCGCTGAGACAGATGTCCGACGACCAAGCGCGTAGTTGGTAGGGAACCCTTGCTCTGCGGATCGCCCCGGGAGGGGGGCCAGCTCCCCCTCCTGCTCGTCCTCCTCCCCCTCAGTATCCTGGAAGGGACTCCGGCTGAATAAGGATCCTCCTGTTTGTGATCTTCCTTCAGCGAATGTACTACCTCCGAACAAAGCAGTGCCCGGAGGCACAGCACCCGAGTTAGACTGTCGGAATGTCAGGTTGGTTGGTGACGTCACCTCGAACTCGTCGTCCTCGGAAATTTTTGGGGTGCCAGCAGATTTGTCGCCAGCTCTGGTGTTGATGACCGGGGTCGAATCAGGAGCAGAGTTCTGTGCCATGCTGGCGTTGAGGTTGAGGGCCAGAGAGGCCGCAACTCCGGGGTTGAAGCTGAGTGAGATGGATGTGGGGCGAAACGGAGATGATATCTGTGGGATATTAGAAAGGAATGGATTCAAGTAGAGAGATTGAGTGAGAAAAGGGAAAGTAGAAAATGTAGCAAAGGGTAGAGAGAGTAGTAGAAAAAGGTAAGAGTAATGAGGAACGGAGGGGCAGACAGTGGGGAATTATTGGTTGGAGTCTAATCGTAGGGATGCTGCATGACCTCTTCTCTCTTTCTGTCTCTTTTCTTTTTCCTCTCTCTTTTCTCTTTTTCTCTTTCTTTCTTATGTTTCGGAAAGTAAAATGGAGAAGTAAAATGGAGAACATTGCAAATGAAAAAAAGGCAAGTGAAAGCAAGTGAAACCGGGAAATTACCTGTGTCTTTGCTAAAAGGAAGCTGAATCCGGAAGCTTTACAGCTTTACAGATTTACTTATAAAAAAAGGCCGGGTGTCTGAAGACAAAGGGGAAATAATTGGAAATAATTGCCTGGAGAATTGGAATTGGAAAGATGAGGGGTAGAGACACACTAAAGTTGGTCTGAGCTTCGTCGATCATTGGGCTTCAGATTTCACTAGCATAGTACTATGTACGACTATGTTGTATATATTATGTACTATGTCTGGATGTATGGAGTAATAGTGATCGACATCACTCCCATGATTACCTAGTTAGTTGTAGTATAGTAATAAGATTTAGCATGGAGGAAAAAAAAAAGACCAAAGCTTTACGCCCGTCTTCTAAGTGTCTTCTAGAATTGCATACTCGCCACCAAAGTGGCAACGGGAACCTTAGGTCACATATGTCATAGACTCGCCTTGCAAATGTCACCTTAATAATTTTTTTTGGTGGAGAAAATACCTGCAGAACCAAATCTTGGAAACTTTAAAGCTTCAAATGTTCTTAACCCTGGAATCTCTAGGGAAAGTTAGTTGCTATAATATAATGTTCGCCTACTGCTACAATATGTAACTGCCATAGCACAGTAAGCTAGAGCTATAAACTACATACCTACATATGTAACTACCCAGGCAATAGTAAGTAACTACTCATATAACCCTAACTAACTAAAGCTCTGACATGGCGTCATGTAAACGGAAAGTCTAGATCGCATAGACCCGACAGCCACGGTTCGCCCCCAGCCCCTTGATATATGGCAATAGTAGTACTTATCTCGTGCATAAGAAGAATTATATAGCGCTAAGTCCTCTCCAGGGTCAGGTACTGGTCTGTGTCACCCCCCACTGGTTTAGTCCAAATTCACTACTCCGTACTCCGAGCCTTTTTTCCTATCTTCTTCCCAAATCTCTGTTTCCAATTTTCTCTCGGAATCAATATGGGCACTTTTACATTTCAGTGGTGAGTCAAGCTTCCAACATGATCCTACTAATTAGGGCTCTCGGTATTTCGGTACCTCTCGAGATCCTCGTGGTACAATGCTGAGACGGTTACTTGCAGGCCTCACAGTGCGAGCGAGGTGTTCGTTACAGGAACTTTCGATGATTGGGGTAAGACGGTGAAACTAGACCGGGTGGGCGACATATTTGTCAAGGAAGTGACTATATCCCCTATACAAAAAGTCCACTACAAGGTATGGGCTTACAATTCTTCTTTTTTTTTTCTCGCACCTTTTCGCCTTTGCCTTGGCCTTTTTCCCCTCTGTAGATTCGCGGATGGCGGTGAGCGATAGGCAACAGGGCCTTTCCACTGACGTCACCTGTGCCGCTTTCCCCCGCTTATAAAGTCGCAACTTCCCGGAACCCCCAAGGTTCCATTGCCTTGTTCCTGCTGACGGAAAAATAATAAAAAGTTCGTCGTCGACGGTATTTGGACTACAGATCCCAACTTACGTGAAGAAGACGACGGGCACAATAACATCAACAACGTGCTTCTACCGGAAGAGATCAAGGGCTCCGATTTCGCCCCCACTATGTCTGGCGTGACCCCCGATTCTACAACCGCGGCTCTCGCTGCTAACGTTCCCAAGGAGCCCAATGGGGATTTACCTGGTAGCTTCCCAGAGACTCCGGGACAGGAATCCGAACAGGCCTTTTCCGTGGATCCCATCCCAACTTCGGGGGGTTATGGCAACCCCGTCAGCCTGAAGCCGGGCGACAACGTCCCTCATCACAGCACACTTCACAACAACACTGTTGATTCGACTGTCACTTTAGACAAAGAGTCCTATGAGAAGGGCCAAACTCTCCCTCTTGGCGCTGGGACCCAGAATACCGACACTAACCCTGGCGCTTCCGCATTTATCATTCCCCCAGTCACAAACAACATGATTCCTGAGTCCAGTCTTCCGATCGGTGGACCCGCGCAACGCGCCGCAACGAGTGAGACCGAGCCGACTTATACCGGCGGTCCAGCGCAGCAGGCAGCGATGACCGATCCAGGGTACCACATCCAGTCCGCTGGCCCTGACTCGACTACAGCAGCATTAGCTGCTGGAGTCCCGCTGGAGTTGAAGGACAAGCAGACCAACGGCGACAAGCCAGTCGAGGAGGTTCCTCAGGTGGTAAAGGACTCGTTGTCCGAGGCCCACAAGGACCCGGAGGCTGCTGCGAACAAGGAAGCAGTAGATGAAAAGCATGCTTTCGAGGAGGAACTGCACAAGAAGATTCCCGTTGAAGAGTCTGCGGGTGTTCCGGCGCCTACTGTCACTGCGGCCACCCAGCCCGTTGCGCCCCATGTCACTGCTGATAGTGGTGTAGACTCGGCAGATGTGTCGCCGCTTTCGACGCCTCCAGCAGGCCGCAATTTTGCTGCTGCTACCCCATCTTCGGCGCTGAAGAACACCGAGTCCAGTGGGCCCACGGTCACAACTGGTCCTAAGGCTACTCCTACTGCCGAGACATCGACTCCCGAAACCACGGGTGCCACGACTGCGGAACCCGGCGGTCCCACTGTGACGACGGGAGTTGCGTCTGCTCAGACACCTACTATTTCGACCCCAACCCCCCCAGGTCCCACTGTAACGACCGGGGCTGAGTCTATGGAAACACCTGCTACTCCGACCGCAAAGCCCGCAGAGCAGTCTCCCAACCAGCGCCAAAGCACCGAAAGTGCTTCTACTATTGACAAGAAGAGGAAGCACCGCCTGAGTAGCTTTTTCGGCAAGCTCAAGGAGAAGCTTAAGTAAATTCTCGGAAATGTCAAATTCCGACATTGGAATCTGTCCTTTGATCCCAGTCCTGGGTGGTATAGTCTTGGCTGTAAAAGCTGACCGATATCCTGCTTGTTCTCTGATGCCTCGTATTCTTTGTTTCTGGATACCTCCTCCTGCCCTGCTTTACTGCATTGTATTCCTGCAAGCCGCTTTTTTGTTTATGCCTCAGCTAGTAATTATCGTCTAATGGCAGTACTTTGTTTATGTGTTCTTTAATTGTTAGAATTGTGGTACTTTATTGTATTTCTATCTGAGCCGAAGTCGGAGCCGAAGCCTTGCGTAAAATGTAGTACAGAACTCGGAGTATAAGCATGTTGATTCAACATGAAACATGAAACATGAGATATCCAATTTTGATATAATCCTAGAATTCTTGAATGTAAGAAACTAAGATCTAAGAAAGTAGTTGACGACTCAAAGATTTTATAAATTGCCTTGTCATATGAGTGGGGAAGGCCTTGGAAGGCCACTTCCTAACGCTCTTCTCCACCTCAACCTTTCCCCGACTTTGGGGATTTCCAATCTTCTTCTCCCATTTACTCGCTTCTCCTCTGCATTGTACAACCCACTTTGATTTTGGGGCCTCTTCACTACGCGTGAGCACAAATATGGCCGCCCCCCCATTATCCGCCATGATCGACCCGACAAAGCAGGCCGAATACCCAATTGTGCTGGGGGAGAGGCTTGCTCGGAACCCAAACACGAGCCGGCTAATCAACGTCAACTACAACCACAAATCCAAGTCCGCCACCTCACAGCAACGTTCGACCATCACTCACTCCCGATCTGCCGGCCTCTATGACCTCGCCGTTACTGATAAGGCCCCGAACGCCGATCAGACATTGACCTATTCATACAAAGGCAGCGAGGACCCGTCGAGCGAGCGAAGCCTGGTTCTAATCTTCGACCCGGAGCGGAAAGTCTTTGTCCTGGAGCCGGTCTCGACAACCTTGAACTTTAACCTACGGTCGGCTCCAGGAAAGACGGAAAAGCAGGTCCGCGAGCAGTACGAACAACTACAGATAAAGGAAGAGGATGAGCCAGCAACCTCGGGAGAAGACCGGCACGGAGGGAGCACCAGCGAGGACGAGGGACCGGCCGACGATAGCAATCCTTATGACTTCCGACATTTCCTCCCGAAAAATCGCCGGGAGGATGACAAGCCACCCTCAGGCCACAGCACCCCAGAACTCGCCACCAGTAGGGCCAGTACACCCTTGATCCCGGCTGCCAGACCTGCGCCTCGAACCGCGCCTCAACCCAGAACACAAACAAACCCGCTACGACAGAAGAAACCACCAGCAAAACAACCAACCAAAGTACACCCGCCCGCGAAGCCAAGCGAGCCTGTCAGCTATCCCGACCCACCTGAGCATGAGGACTCTCGCTCGTCGCCGTCCGATGCAGGCACGGGATCGCAACAAGCTGGGCAGTCTCCTGGATCGAACATCATTGTCGATGGAGATCTCATTATTGATATGGGATCTCCACCTCCACGCCCACTCGTGGACCGGACTTACTTCTCATCCAATAACACCCCAGCAGAGGACGATGGGGATGAAGACATTGGGGAGTTTAGTTTACCCTCCCCGGTTGGCAATACAGCTCCACCTGTCTCAGCGCCTACAGACACGGGTACCCAAGAGGACGAAGTGGAAGATGATGATGCCTTGGCGGCGGAGATGGAAGCCGCTTTTGAGCAAAGTGCTCGTGAAGAGGAGGCTCGGAACCACCATTACAGTCAATCCACGACCAGACAATATGTTCCCAGTGATGATGAGAGCGAGGTTAGTGAGGAGGAGTAAATGCCTGTTTGGGTTTTTGTTTGTTGCATCTATCAGCGTGGCGCCAGGACGGACTTTGATTCCAAAGTACTAGATACCAATTGTGATTGTTATAGGGATTGTTTCAAGGAGTGTAATTGCATGCAATGACCAATGGAATTTACATGAGGATATGTTAAACTTGTATTTCTTCCCTCCTTGGATGTAGTACAATGGCCCTTCATTGTAATACTTGCATCTCTTACCATTGAGGCGGATAAATAGTTCCGCTCGGAAAACCATTGTTCCGACTAAAAGCTTCCCTTGTCGACTGCGTCAATACGGAGATCCTTGCCGCCTTGCAGGTTATCTGATAGTGCTTGATATTTAGGCAGCGCTCTGCTGTTTATATATTGCTTATCCCTGACCTCCCTTCTCCAATTCTCCGAACGTCTCCCGCCGTGCACTACCATATCCGCGATGCGATAGAAAGCTCCGCCATGCTAGCTTTGGCCTAACGACTGTGACGCTTGGAACGATAACGACTATTGTTAGCCCTCGCGCAAGCTATTCCTTATTAGGCGCGCCGGATGCGCTTCATCTCTGTCGCCATTGTGTGAACAACCCCTCGTCGATCTTATTCGTCTTTCCCTCTTCACTTCGCACAGCTATGGCTTCCTCAGCACCGCCAAAGCGACGAATGCCCGGCTTACCGAACCCGGTGTTGGAAGCGGAGCAGCAAAAATGGTTATTCACCGAGGAGGAATTCGAGCGCACGCCATCGCGCATTGATAAGATCGAACGCGGGAAAGAGGACTACATCCGACATCGTGCAGTCGAGTTCATTTGGCAAGTGAGCGTGATGTTAAAGATGCCGCCGCAGACCTCAATGACCGCCACGGTGTACATGCACCGCTTCCTCATGCGCTATTCGTTGATGGGCCAATATCCGGAGATGGGTTCGGACCTGATGCACCCGAAGGTGATCGCTGCGGTGGCCCTGTTCGTCGCGTTCAAGGTGGACGAGGCCATGCGCCGCATGAAAGACTTCGTCATCGCATGCTGCCGCGTCGCCATGAAGCAGCCAAACCTGATTGTCGACGAGCAGTCTAAGGATTACTGGAAATGGCGAGACCTGATTCTGCAGAACGAGAGCGTCATGCTTGAATACCTCTGCTTTGACTTACAGGTCGAGTCCCCGTACCGCATTCTCTGGGATTACTCCGTCTTCCTAGGCGTCGGTGACAACAGAGCTTTGCGCCACTCCACCTACTCCTTCCTCAACGACTCAACCTACACCGTCCTCTGTCTCCAATTCCCACCTCGCGTCATCGCCGCCGCAGCCCTGTACGCCGCAGCCCGCCACTGCAAAGTCGCCTTCCCCGACGACGTGGAAGGCCGACCCTGGTGGGAGCAGATCGACGTCCGTCTCGACGACCTCATCCGCGCCTGCACCTTCATAGTCAAGATCTACGAGCGCGTCCAGCAAAGCCTCAGCAAGGGCTACCCGGAATTCGCGCTTTCAGACTCAACCTCCCACCCCAACGACCCAACCCGCATCTTTGACACAGACCCCACAAAATCCGCCTCAGAGCAACAATCCATCTCCACCCCTCCAGCCCTCACCGTCAGCTCAGACATGGCTCCAAATGGCCGCAAACGCTCGCGCGAACCCGAATCTCATTCCAACACACAACCACACCAACACCCGCCCTCCCCACAAAACAAACCCCCTTCAACCCTCGACGGGAACGGCAACCGCGATCGATCCCCCAAGCGTCAGCGGACCATAACCCCCTCCAACGAAGCAAGCCTCCCCACCGACCAAAAACCACACCCTCCAGCTCCCGCCCGCCCGCGCGTCCCCGCAGCCGCATTATCCCAAACAAAAGCAACGCCTCATTTCAATTCCTTGTCAATCACGGGGGAGAAGTCGGGACCGGGATACTCTGCACAAACCCCTCCGAAAGAAGAGTCCAGCGAAGAAGGCGAAGTCTATGAAAAACAGCAACGTGTCGTTCCAGTCGCGCATCCCCCTCGGCCTGTTCCCCCGTCCACGGCGGATGTGGATTATCGGAGTAAACTAGACTCCCAGAGAGAGGAGAGAGAGGAGGGCGAGGCTGAAGATGATGATCGTGCTGGAAGTGAGGAAGGCGAGATCTAAGATCTGAGATCTATATCTTTGTTCTATCAGGTCGCCGTTGGGGAACTGTGGACCTTCAGGAGGGGAAGAACTTTTTATGAGTGAGAATGAAATCCACGGAGAATGAAATTTCTCTTTTGCTTAATCTACCAACTTTACTGTACTTTTCTCCCGTGTCCTGATTTATTAGGGCTGTAGACGAAGTATTTTATGAATAGATACGGCAGTGTAGTCTAAGAAATAAATACATAATCCTTTGTACATTGTTTCGCGCCAATAACACTTAACACCATCGCGCATCGTCTCAATCACAATGGGGGATCAAGCACAACATATTCGGGAGCTTATCATGGATCAAATCCCAGGCACAATCCAACAGCCTCCTCCAAGAAGTTGATCCAAGACCAATTCGAATACTGGGCGACACCCCCAACAGCTTGCTCGACTCCGGAGATTATGTAGGATCTATACGTCCATTCGTGTAAAGACTCAGGATTTCATTCGCGATTGCCGTCCAGACGTCCAAACTCGTTTCCTCGCTGTGAACATATACCCCGGGAAACGCGCCTTTTTCGTGCTAGACGTCAACAATGTCGACTACGTCTATGAGACTGCTCATACTAGTACGACTCCGATTCCTATCTACGTTCTTCGCCTGTCGAAGAGGAAAATAAGCATCACCAGACAGCAACGGTTAGACGCTACAATTGCGGAGAGACCTAGAGCGATGCACAATGGGCATGGGGATGACCCTCTACCGTTGCTTGGTGATTTTAATCAGACTGTTGGATATCACAGTCTGCGCAGTCTCGGCTGTAAATTTCCAGCATGATCGTCTGAACTTCGCATCGATCGCTTTACGTTCATATCTGATTTCGACCCCCCATCTGATTTTATTCCTCCGTTCAAACCCCTTCCATTCAACCTTATTGCTCCCTGGAATGAATACCCCAGATATGGCGATTGAACCAGACCTCAACGGGGAGCTATTTGACTAGTCGAAAGGATGTAATGGGCTATCACTGAAGCAGCGGATTGTGGTCAAAAAGCTATGCTCTTGAGTATTTTGAGTAAAAGCGTTACATGAGGAAGAATGCTGTGAATTACAATACAATTATATTGCCGAGCGCGTGTGACTGCTCAAAGTCTGAGATATGGCAATGTTCGAGAATCGGCTGGGCAGTTTCTGTAGTGTATCCGAGAGCGTTCATCATCTAATGAAAATACAAACCGTCCGGCTTGTATAATATAAGAAACGAACCATCTATTCGGCGGTCTATATAATCTTTCATGATAACTAGGCATATCAGATTCCCAAATTTTGAGGCTGGACATGGAAGTTAAGACACAGCAGAAAAGTGTGGCACGATCGTAAGCATTGTTCGAGCAGGGAGGTCACCGCCTTTATTTTTCCTCGAAAAGTACAATATGGAGTTGTATTTTCGCGATATAAAAGACGACTGGATACTGTCACATATACATGTGTATGCGTGTAAATTTTACTCCAAATAAACGAGAAGGACAAAACGCCTAGTAGATATGCGATGGGAAAGTACCACTAGTTGTGTCCAGGTCATACTGTGTTGTATTGCTTCAGAACAAGACAAGCAGCTTGGCAGGGAAACGATACCAAGGCAGATGTGTAATAGCATGGAATGTACGACAACCGGCACGTCGAACAGCTTAATGCGAAATGTGCATTCTCTCTTCATCCTTGTCTTCACAATTCTCCCCAGTCAAATTCTCAACCTCAATTCAATATCCAGCAGTCATAACCCCCAACCCATGATCCAGCAAGCTGCTCGAAGCAACATAGCTAAATCCACCGAATGGATTACTCTCACCACCAACCTCCTCGCCATCGGCACCCTTTCCAGCCGGGAAATCCTGTCCCTTGCCATAGTACTCGTCAAAGCCGGCGGCAGTGACTGTCGGGCTGAGCGGGAGATGGGTGAAATCGGCGGAGAAGTTCTCCGCTAGTGCAGGGTCCGTGACAACAGGCTGGATAGGCGGGTCAAGCTCGCGACGCTCAAGGGCAGCCCAGTCGATCTTGCGGAAGAAGCGGTGCTTCTTGATTATCTGCAAGTCCTTCTGCATGTGGTAGCCGAGGCGCTTGGAAGGTTCTTTGCGGAGAAGACGGGTGAGGAGGTCCTTGGCATCTGGCCCGAGGAAGTAGGGGAGCACTAGCTTTTGCTTCACGATCTTCTCTTGTAGCTTTGCGTGGTTATTCCCGCGGAATGGGGGTGAGCCGGTGAGGAGGTCGTAGCCCAATGCGCCGAGAGACCACCAGTCGCACGCTTTGCCGTAGGGCTTGCCTTGGATCACTTCTGGCGCCATGTAGTCGATAGTGCCAAGAAGGGAGTTGCAGCGGTCGTCGTCGCTGAGCGAGATCTTGCTGAGTCCGAAATCGGTTAGGAGGAGGTGGCCTTGCGCGTCTAGGAGGCAGTTCTCGGGCTTCAGGTCGCGATAGAGAACGCCGACGTTTTGGTGCAGGTGTGCCAGTGCAAGTACCATCTCTGCCATGTAGAAGGCTGCCGCATCTTCTTCGAACATGCGTTCCATGGCTAGGTGGTGGAAGAGTTCGCCGCCTTGCGCGTACTCCAGAATCAAGTAGAGCTTCTCGTGGTCTTGGAAAGCATAGAATAGCTTGACAACAAAGGGGTGGCGGTTTACACTTTCCAGGATTGTGCGCTCTGTCTTGGTCTGCTCGACTAGCTTTTTGTGGACAGTGATGGAAGCCTTCCGGAATTGTTTCTGAGCATAGAGCTTGCCCGTGACGACGTGTCGCACCAGCAACACAGTTCCGAATGAGCCCTTGCCCAGACAAAGGATAGGGACAAAGTCCTCCGCAGTCATCTTGCGGCACAGTTGACTGCGCAACTCCGAATTCATACCTGGGACATCCGCGTTGAGATCGTCCAGTGTCTCTGGTTGCACTGCGTCGGAACTAACAAAGTCCTGATCCAAAGGGATTTCATAGCTGGTCAGAATCTCAGTCTGGTCGCTGTCGGAGTAAACACTCGCAACACTGGGGGTCTGAGAGACAACTCCGCTGCCAGTTGTGTGGTCAGACAAACTCAGGGTGTTGAGTTGAAGCTTCAGCGCGCTGACCCCATGGCCTGAGGACGCTTGGGCCAGCGGGCTAGCGACATCAAGCGCAGTGGGAGGTCGAGAGGGTGTACGTGAGCTCGCAGCGGAGAAGTCCGATTCCTCATCGCCGGATGCCAGAGGAGTGAAACCGCGCACGGTTGCGCACGCCGGTCCGAGTTGATTCTTCTTCTTCTTCCGTCGCTGTTTGTTCTCATTGAGGGTATGGTTTGCAAACCCATTGAATCCCTTCCTTGTCTGCTCCGGGGGTGACATGGTGCCCATGTGTGCATTGGGGCGACGGTGATTGGCTGGGATGTCAATGACGGACTGTTCGCTGTCGGCCTGCGGAGCGAACACGTCCCCGACCGACAGGTCGTCGGTATTCGAGGAAGGCATTATGCTTCTGTTTTATCACCTGTGATCGCTCGAGTGAAGCGAAATATGCCGATGGATTTAGGTGAAAGCGCCGGCGATAACCGCAGAGTCGGTAATTGACCTTGCGCGGTCGTAAAGAACGGTAGCAAGGTATTCAGAATACCTGTCTCGCAGTCGCTGTTCACATAGAGACATCCGGTTAGCCTCAATTCGCCTGATCTTGGATTATCGACTGTAAAGAATGAATGGAGGGGCAGGTGAGGGTTTTCACGCCCCCACTAATTCGCCAAGGTAAAACGTAAAAGAAATTGAATAAAATAAAATAAAAACCGCAAATTAAAGGCAGATCAAAGAGACATACTTCAACTCGTAGAGTTATTGCATCAAAGCACGGTTTTCCTTGAGTGCCCGAGCTAGTCGATAGACCAGTGAATCTCTCGAGCAGGTTTACCGTCCGCCCTTCTTCAGGACGGACCCGGGACCCCTAGCCAAGTCACCTCGCTGGCCGAGAAGTCGAAGGCCAAAGCGAAAGGAGAAAGCACTGGGTGTGTCGACACGTTGGAAATATCAGGAGCAGGTGAGTCGAGGTTCAGAAGGGAGGGATATGGATCAAGGTTGGCTAGGAAGCCAGTGAGCGAAATCAAAGCGAGCGGAGATGAAGGCACAGATAGGCACATAGAGGATGGAGATTTTGGCAAATAGAGATTAACAGTCTTTCTTCCCCAGGAAGTGAAACAAAGCAAGAAAACTGCGAGATCCTGCAGAAAATCAGATTTCAGGCGCAGATCCGGGGGCTGAGCGACTAATCCTAATTAGGATTTCACGTGTCATATGCTGACATTAACATGATCTTATTGATCGAATCTAGCTGTTGATATTGTCTTGATATTGCCATGATATAGCATGATATTGGATTATATTACAGTCTCTTCGGCTTTGACTAGTCCGATATAATGCCCAGTGGTCTTACAGATCTGCCTGAGACAGCATCACCCAGCCTCAAGACTACAGACAGCCACATAGGAGTGTCGATCTGCATACTGCAGCCTCCTGTATAACATGAAAACCACCTAAATGGTACTTAGTGAATCTCGAGGAAACCCTCAAACGAGTAATATCCACACCAGGCCGCTGGAGAAAAGCGAGAGCACTTGGCTTCTCGACCTTGGTAGAAACCACTCCCATGGCCGGGCATCTCCGCGTTTTGGTTTAAGTTCGTTGTAGAATTACAGCTAGATAGAAAGGATTGGTTGTGTCTTTTGTGATACTGTATATATTTATTTTAACTGTAAGTTTTAGGATTGGGGTTTGGTGCATGATCACAATCCCAATATATACTTTTGTTTGAACGACAGAAATAGACACGACTTGCACTATTATCGTCGAACCAGCTATCAAAGGTAGGTCATGTCGGGACGTCGACATCATGGAGCACAGGATATCGGGGATATTACAGGAGAAGAAACGAATCAAACAATATTAAGAATTTCAGATGCTAACACACATACAATAGTCCAGGGTGGACAAGGAAGTCCTTACGGGCATAGCCACTTAGCCTCCAGCTATCCCAAAACCATGAGGGAAGAAAAAAGAAATGATAGAGAACTCGGCCTGTCCAGTCGCCTGGAAGACATGAAAGCACCCGGCCGCGAGAACATGCTGAACGAAACCTCGGCAGGTGAAAAAAGACCATGACACCATGAAATCAGTACGAGACGTTGCGGGTATTTGGCGAAGGAGGTCAACAAAAATGATGGTAGAACGGAAGAATATGCAGTAAATCCAATCGACGAAGACCCGGCGCCATCTACCAGTAGCGAGGACGGTCATAAGGCACATACTCGCCTCTCGGCGGAGAGCGAGGACGCCCATAACCTCGGGCAGCTAGGTAGGGATCATCATAGTGACGAGGAGGTGGGGGCGGCCGGGCCTCATAGGGGTCTTCGTAGGGACGACGTGGGGGTGGGTAGTCTTCCATCCGAGGGCGAGGGGGAGTCCGGCGGGCATAGCCATCCCGTTCATAGTAAGGATCACGGCGGATAGGAATCGGCGACCGCTCACGGTAGTGCTCCCGAGGACTGTAGCCACGTGGGGGAGGGATCCGGCGGTCGTACTCCTCCATGGTGGCAGGGTAGGGGCGACGTGGTGGGGAACGAGATCGGTATGGGTCACGAATGGGGCGTTCCTCAAAGTTTTGAATCTGGGAGTTGGTGAGAAGGGGGTTCCTCCAGGTCCGAGCCAGGTTGGGCGCTTACATCGGCGACACAAGATACGACGGAGCCTTTGAACTCTCGCTGGTCCAGTTTCTCCACGGCAGTCTTCAGGTCATTGGCGGTTTCAAATTCCACAAACCTTGGTCAAAAGTCAATGGATTGGAAGGGTCTCTTGCGGAATACAATGGTTCACCCACCCTCGGCCCTGTTCTCGGCCAGTCTCAGAGTAAACAACGTCCAGTCCAGACTGGCGGGCGAAGTCTTTCAAGTCCTATTTAATGCATGGTGAGTCCAGATCCAGGAAAGGTAAGGTGTCCGGCAAATGTGGAGAGAAGACAAAAATGTAAGCACTCCATGTCCAGTCCGAGGTGTATCCAGAATAGATGGGCATCTTATATCGGCATCCAAAAGTCCCAGGAAAGGTTCCATGGGGTCTGACAGCAATGTTTTAAGGGAGCAATTCTCAAATCTCAAGGCAAAAGAAAAGGCCATAGAAGGATTTTTCAGCCACCAGGAGAGGAGGCTAATGGATTAGTACACCAGGATCCTTGCTTGGTTCAACCGATGGCCTCAAGGACAATGGACTGGAAGCATGTGTGGGCTGAGTAGAGAGACGGGGTTGAGGAATCTACGTCAGGAACTCCGGAAAGGAATGGACTTGGGTTGCTAACCTGCCAACTTGTTTCTGGAAGACCGGAGATCTGCATGCGGAACATAGTGCGACGAGGACGAGGGAGAGCATTGCGGTCTGGTGGTCCCGGGAAGGCCTCCTTGCGGCGAGGACCGCGCGCAAATTGAACGGTGAGTCGCTCGCCTTTGAAGTCACTGCCGTCTGTGGTATTGATAAGCGACAGGTCATTCGGTGGATAAGTCATGGGGGCATACGGAACGCTGTAGGAAATAATGTTAGCAAGTCTGCGCAAATGAATGGAATATGATGAGCTGTTCTTACCGGGCACAATATCTCTGGCATCCAGCTGGTCGTCATATTCGATGAAGCCGAAACCGTTCATCAACTTGATCTCTGTTATCTTACCGGAGCCATGGCTGCTGAAATGTTCCTCGATGTCGCTTTTGGTCACTATGATAAGAAACAAGAAAGATGTTAGCGCATCACTTCTCAAAGAGTGACTCCAAAAGCCCCAGTTAGATGGCCATCCGAGGCGAAAGCTGTTCCATGCGGGTAGCTGAAGCTCCCATTTGCTCACCCTGAGAGGGGTGGGCCGAGGGTGGCATTCCACATGAGCATGAGGGATCATAGCACATGAGACTCTGAGCACCAGCAAAGCGACCGGGCCATGCATGGTGACGCGTGTGTTCTCCAAAGCTCAGGGAGGAGGGACAGTCAGGTGCCAGCATACCGTTGCGGGGAAGGTTCCCAAGATAAAGGCGGGTTGAGGACACCTCAGTCATGGCTGGTCTGAAATGATCGATTGATGGGAGATATAGAAAGAAACCTGGCTAGAGGAAATGCCAGAGAATATGGAAGAGATCGAAAAAGCGGACACACAGAGAGAAGTGGTGGACTGCGGCGCGGCTGCAGGAAAGCGTGTAACGTGTAACTCGACAAACGACAAGCAACCGGAGAGCAGATGTGCTGCTGCAAAGTAGAACAGCCAAGCACCGAACAGGAAAACAAATACAAAAGATACAGAAGAGAAGAGCGAGAGGGGAAGAAAAGAGAGAAAGTACCGTCTGGCGGTGGACAGACTCGAAACTTTGGCCGCCTCACCTTTTTTCTCTGATCCACGTGGTTCCACCATAGAAAATAGAGGGGAAGAGATAATATGAAACCTATATTCCAGTATGATATTTACATATGTATAAACGTAGTATACATAGTAATGTTGAATACAGTAATAAATACATACATGTAGTTCTCACATAGTTCAAAGGAAGTAAGGCTTATCCCTCGTGGACTCTCTCCACTGTCATTCCACGGTTCTGCCAACCCCATGGGGTCTTTTTTGGTTCACCTGTTTTGCCTATTTTGGGCTTCTATACACATTGGCTTTTTGATATCCCATTCATTCTTTATTAAGATCCTTGATTATAAGGATCCAGAGGTCCCTCATGATATCACGTCATCACGTACTTGGGTCCCTCTCCACCTTGCGGCGTCTGCCAGTTAATGTCTTGTGTAGGCACCTTGATATCACAAGTCTTGCAGTGAATGCAGCTGGTAAATGGTTAGTATATATTTCTAAGACAACTCAAATAGCAGTGGACGCTTACTTTTGTGAGTTGATCTGGAATCGGACCCCATCCTTTTTGCTAGGGTCCTCCACATATTCGTAGACGCCTGCAGGACAGAACCGGTTTTCTACCCCCTTGTAAACAGGCCACGCGAGGTCCGTGTGTTTATCTAAGTCCTCGACCTGCAGGTGAACCGGCTGGTCTTCCTCGTGGTTGGTGCCGGTCCGGCTCACACTGGTCAAAATATCGAAACTGAGCTCTCCGTCTGGCTTGGGGTAAACGATCTTTTCGTATTCAGAAGCAGGCTTGGTAGCCGCTGCGTCGGTGCCGTGGTGGCTGAGCGTCCATGGCACTCGGCCCTTGAGCACGTAGGCCTCCAGACCGGAGTAGAGAAGTCCACCGAAGAAGCCAAGTGGGGTGTTGAATGAGGGCCGGATGTTCCGGACCTCGGAGAGTTCCTTCCAAATGGATGAATCCCGCAGAGATTTCTCGTAGTCAAACAAGAAGACGGTTCCTTGGTCCTCACCCTTAAGCGCCGAGAATGCAGCCTCGGCGGCTAACATGCCCGATTTCATTGCGGTGTGGGTACCCTTGATTTTCGGGACGTTTAAAAAGCCAGCCGTGTCACCAATCAAGGCACCTCCGGGGAATGCACACTTGGGGATCGACTGGAAACCACCCTCATTCAGCGCTCGGGCCCCGTAAGAAATGCACTTGCCGCCCTCGAGAACCTCCTTGAACATGGGGTGGTGTTTCATCTTCTGGAATTCCCCGTACGGCGAAAGCCATGGATTCGGGTAGTCCAATCCTACCACCAGACCGATACTGACCATGTTGTCCCCAAAGTGGTACATCCAAGCTCCACCGTAGGTGTCCTTGGGAAGAGGGTATCCCATCGAGTGAGTAATCTCGCCCGATTGGAACTTCTCGGGCTGAATCTCCCAGACTTCCTTAATTCCAAGACCATATGTCTGGGGCTGGCTGTCTCGTCGAAGATCGTATTTCTTCATCACCTGCTTGGTCAAGCTGCCGTGACAGCCCTCAGCAAGAAGCGTGACACGGGCATGGAACTCCATTCCTCTCTCAAATGTCTCCTTGGGCTTGCCATCCCGAGCGAGTCCCAGGTCGTTAGTCGCAACGCCCTTGACTGAGCCATCTGAGCTATAGACCATCTCGCTGGCTGCAAAACCAGGGTACACCTCCACGCCAACCTCTTCCGCACGCTCTCCCAGCCACTTGGTCAGCTCGTTCAGACTGACAATATAGTTCCCTTCGTTGTGCATCTGTGGCGGCGTAGGAAGCGGGTACGAGCCATTCTTCGTCAGGAAACGCATCTTGTCGCCTTTGGCGGGGGTTGCACCCTCAAAGCGCGAGGGGTTGTCCTCGGACAGCCAGTCGGGGAGCAGCTCATTGAGGGCGGTTGGTTGCAAAACGTTTCCGGAGACAATATGGGCACCCAATTCACCAGCCTTCTCTAGTAGAATAACGCGGAACTCTTCGTTGCCTGCCTCATTGGCAAGTTGCTTCAGCCGAATCGCGGCGGCGAGACCGGCGGGGCCTGCAGTAAACCAAAACTTAGTCAGGTCGCTTTCGGGGGGAACCTATGCGGTAGAAAGCACGTACCACCGCCAACAATGCACACATCCACGTCGTCAGACTCCCGCTCCAACGTGCGAGGATCGAAGTCGCCGTTCTCGTCGGTGAAGCGCCTTGACAGCGATTGCGAAAAGGCTCGTGTCTGGGTTGGCGCGGTGAACAATGCCGTTCGCCGAGCGAGACGTCGCCCGGTAGTTGTGAAGGGACTGGCTGAGTGGCGGGCTGGGGTAGCAATGGCGGAGATGGAGGAGGTAGCTCGTGAGAATCGAGAGGATCGGACCTCGCGCCTCAATAGAGGCAAGACGGCACCTTTTGATGCCATCGCGGTGTGTGAGATTGTTCGGAGATTGCAGGCTGAGACCAGGATTACTAGTAGCGAACAAGCAATCGGCACAACCAGATCGAAAGGATGAATGCGGAGACTCAGGATATTTAGGTCGTAGATCCCGAATGTACCCAGAGTCCTCAAGTACCCGAATTTTGAGTGGAAGTGACAAAACGCCGAAAAACCGCCTATCCTCGGCTCAGCTCTCTCGGCCAATAGCAAACTCGGCGATTATCCAACTTTGAGGCCTGAGGCAGCTATGGATGGATGGATGCCCCAAAGCGGAAATAGCCTCTAGCCGACAGGGTCCTATCACCAGCTTGATCGAACTTTCAGCACCTGGGTATGTCTCCTTACTGTACGACAAATTCTACCTAGGTATATGGAGTATGTAGTATAGTGCCGCCTCGATTCTCATCACATCTAAGCGCCCCATGCTTAATACGGCATAGATACTCCGCACTGATCACATGCATCACATGCTTAGCTTCACTTGTGATAATGAAGTTTCCATGTTGACATCAGCTCCAGGGTTATCTTGCATATCGATATGCCAGAAAACAACCTTAAATACTCGAGCATACTCCGTACTAACCGCTGCCAAGGGCATTAAACCCTGATCTGGCCAGATCAGACTGCAGTTTCCCGTATACGTATTATTACTGCATTTCGCGGAATGTGACGGTGGTGCCGCTTCGGGTATGGTATTCAGCATACTATACCATACCAGCATACCGGAATCCTCTAGAAAATGCAAAAAAAAAACACCATGATGTGATCTGAGGGGTCGTCTGGAATAACAAAGTTTCGAGAAGCACAGTTGGTAGATCTAAATAATAGATCCGAACAAGCTGAGAAATGACCGATCATCGCCGGATTGCATGCCATGAGATTCATCCAGCCTTGGCGGACAGTGGATCAACACCGGGCGCCACCGCCTGTTGAGGCAGAATCGAAACGGCCACCTGTCCTAATCAAAATCTCTGGGGAGAGTCAGTTTGAAATGCGAAAAAAAGGGTATAGTCGAATCAAATATAAGCTATGAGCAATATATCTTCCTATCAAAGTTAGTTTACCAACAATATCCGGTATATTATAGTGATTATAGTGATTTCCCCGGTGCGGTGAGGTCAGAGAGGTAGGGGAAGAAACAAGGCAAAAAAATCAGAATTTTTGTTCAGTTGCCATCCGTTAAAGCGGCAAGAGGATAGCGCGTCGTACATGGAGTGACCGAGGGTAGTCGATGACGATGATTGGACTGGCATGGGACGGATGGACTATCAGCTGCAGGAGGAGCGCGGACTGGCAAACCCAGCGCCTGCAACCATGGCACCGGAGGATAAAGCAAGGGTGTTCGAACCAGTCAGGAGCCAACATAGAGAGATTAGCGGAGTGCGTTGGGCGAATAAAAGTCACTAGGGAGGTTGCGTAGCTGTGATTGGTTGGGAAGGTGGTCTCCCAGAGCCGCTAGCGGGCAATGAAGCCAAGGTTGAAGGGAGAAAAGTCATGCCGCTTTTAGCGCCACCGGCGGCCCAGCCTCCCCTGACCGGGCTGTGACTCAGCACTATATAAAGGCCCAACCTCCCCCCAATTTACCTTGGGAATTTTGTCTCGGTCTTGGCGGATCTTATTTCGGAAATTCTTCTTCCCTCCGCTCCTCTCGAAAAGCCTCCTGATCATCAAAGATCTTGATATCTGGCTTTCTCTTACTAATCAGATCTATCTCACCCAGATCTTTGATTTCTCTCCGGAAGACCCTTGATTCTATTTTTTTTTAGGGGAAAAAAAGGCTTTTTGTCTACGGACCTAAACACCATAGAAGTCGAGCCTCAGGTTTCGCTTCACCACTCTCTCTTTTTTTCAGATCGCGCAGATAGACAATCCCATTTTCCAAAAAAAGCGCAAAAGAAACATTTCGAAAGAAAAAAAAAAATTGCCGTCCTTCCGTCCATAATATCGCCGTCGCGCCTATCTTGAAAAAACACTTCAGTGTGATTTTTTTCTTGATTCGTTCACCAGTCGACTGCGTTGGTTTCGTTGCCTACACTATCTTGTGACTGCTTGATTCACGAGAGGTTACGTGCGAAGACCTCGTAGGGGGATACATTGAGTTGTCCATCTCCCAGGTAAGAAAGAGCCTCCTTCCTTTTCTGTCCTTTGCACCTTCCTTCGAAGGTCTCTTTCCTT